TTAAAGTGCAGGCATTGTACTTCCCATTTCCAGGACTCAAGTCCGACTATATGAAAATAACCGGTTTCCCTGAATCCCTTCACTAAATATTACCCTGCTCACACTCCAACAGATCGTCAGGTCCCAAGTATCATTCGTCTCCATTCACTCCTATCTAACACGCTCATGCACGCTTGCTGGAAGTCCAAGCCCCTCGCCCACAAAACCTCCTTTACCCTCTCTTTCCAACCCTTTCGAGGACGACCCCTACCCCTCTTTCCTTCCCCTATAGATTTATATGCTTTCCATGTCATTCTACTTTGATCCATTCTCTCTAAATGACCAAACCACCTCAACAACCCCTCTTCTGCCCTCTGACTAATGCTTTTATTAACTCCACCCCTTCTCCTAATTTCCACACTCCGAATTTTCTGCATAATATTTACACCACACATTGCCCTTAGACAGGACATCTCCACTGCCTCCAACCGTCTCCTCGCTGCTGCATTTACCACCCAAGCTTCACATCCATATAAGAGTGTTGGTACTACTATACTTTCATACATTCCCTTCTTTGCCTCCATAGATAACGTTTTTTGACTCCACATATACCTCAACGCACACTCACCTTTTTTCCCTCATCAATTCTATGATTAACCTCATCCTTCATAAATCCATCCGCTGACACGTCAACTCCCAAGTATCTGAAAACATTCACTTCTTCCATACTCCTCCTCCCCAATTTGATATCCAATTTTTCTTTATCTAAATCATTTGATACCCTCATCACCTTACTCTTTTCTATGTTCACTTTCAACTTTCTACCTTTACACACATTCTCAAACTCATCCACTAACCTTTGCAATTTTTCTTTAGAATCTCCCATAAGCACAGTATCATCAGCAAAAAGTAACTGTGTCAATTCCCATTTTGAATTTGATTCCCCATAATTTAATCCTACCCCTCTCCCGAACACCCTAGCATTTACTTCTTTTACAACCCCATCTATAAATATATTAAACAACCATGGTGACTTTACACATCCCTGTCTAAGACCTACTTTTACCAGGAAGTATTCTCCCTCTCTTCTACATACCCTAACCTGAGTCTCACTATCCTCATAAAAGCTCTTTACAGCATTTAGTAACTTACCACCTATTCCATAAACTATAAAATATAAAATATAACAAAATATAACAAAAAAAAAAAGTAGATCAAAGTTTTTTTTACACATTTTCAAATGTAAAAAACAAAAAGAAGATCTACTTTTTTTACATACTTTCAAATGTTGAAAAAACGTATGTACAGTGGACCCTCAACCAGCGATATTAATCCGTTCCTGAGAGCTCATCGTTAGTTAGAATTATCGTTAGTCAAGTTAATTTTCCCCATAAGAAATAATGGAAATCAAATTAATCCGTGCAAGACACCCAAAAGTATTGAAAAAAAAAATTTTATCACATGAAATATTAATTTTAATACACACAAACTGAAGATTACATGCACAGTTACATGACACTTACCTTTATTGAAGATCTGGTGATGATTGATGGGATGGGAGGAGGGGAGAGGTGTTAGTGTTTAGAAGGGGAATCCCCTTCCATTAGCACTTGAGGCAGCAAGTCTTTTTCTGGGGTTACTTCCCTTGTTCTTTTAATGCCACTAGGACCAGCTTCAGAGTCACTGGACTTCTGTCGCACAACATATCTGTCCATAGAGGCCTGTACCTCTCGTTCCTTTATGACTTTCCTAAAGTGGTTCACAACATTGCCAGTGTAATAGTCACCAGCACGGCTTGCAGTAGCTGTGTCAGGGTGATTTTCATCAAAAAAGGTTTGCACTTCAAGCCACTTTGCACTCATTTCCTTTATCTTAGAAGTAGGCAACTTCTTCAATTTCTCTCTCCCCTCCTCCGAAGCAGTTTCCTCAGGTGTGCCCTCTCACTGTTGAAGATGATTTAGCAGCTCATCAGTGGTTAGTTCTTCACTGTCCTCCACCACTAACTCTTCCACATCCTCCCCACAAACCTCCAACCCCAAGGACTTCCCCAATGCCACAATGGATTCCTCAACTGGCATATGATTCTCAGGGTTAGCCTCAAACCCTTCAAAATCCCTTTTGTCTACACATTCTGGCCACAGTTTTTTCCAAGCAGAGTTCAATGTCCTCTTAGTCACTTCCTCCCAAGCCTTACCTATAATGTTTACACAATTGAGGATGGTAAAATGATCTTTCCAAAACTCTCTTAGAGTCAGTTGAGTTTCTGAGGTCACTACAAAGCACCTTTCAAACATAGCTTTTGTGTACAGTTTCTTGAAGTTGGAAATAACCTGCTGATCCATGGGCTGCAGGAGAGGAGTGGTATTAGGAGGCAAAAACTTCACCTTAATGAAGCTCATGTCCCTAGAAAGTCGCTCTGCCAAGTCTGAAGGATGACCAGGAGCGTTGTCTAATACCAGGAGGCACTTAAGGTCTAATTTCTTTTCAATTAGGTAATTTTTCACATTGGGGGCAAATGCATGATGTAACCAGTCATAGAAAAAGTCCCTAGTGACCCATGCTTTACTGTTTGCCCTCCACAGCACACACAAATTAGCCTTGAGGACATTGTTTTTCCTGAACACTCTGGGAGTTTCAGAGTGATACACCAATAAAGGCTTCACTTTGCAATCACCACTAGCATTGGCACACATCAACAGAGTAAACCTGTCTTTCATAGGCTTATGTCCTGGGAGTGCCTTTTCCTCCTGTCCTGTCCTGCTTGGCATTTTCTTCCAAAACAGGCCTGTTTCGTCACAATTAAACACTTGTTCAGGTTTCAGTCCTTCACTGTCTATGTACTCCTTGAAGTCCTGCACATATTTTTCAGCCGATTTGTGGTCCGAACTGGCAGCCTCACCATGCCTTATCACACTATGAATGCCACTACGCTTCTTAAATCTCTCAAACCAACCTTTGCTGGCCTTAAATTCACTCACATCACTAGTTGCTGGCATTTTTCTAATTAATTCATCATGCAACTTCCTAGCCTTTTCACATATGATCGCTTGAGAGATGCTGTCTCCTGCTATCTGTTTCTCATTTATCCACACCAATAAAAGTCTCCCAACATCTTCTATCACTTGCGATCTCAGTTTCGAAAACATAGTTGCACCTTTGGCAAGAACAGCTTCCTTGATTGCCGTTTTCTTGCCCACAATAGTAGCGATGGTTGATTGGGGTTTATTATACAACCTGACCAGCTCAGAGATACGCACTCCACTTTCATATTTATCAATGATCTCTTTCTTCATCTCCATAGTAATTCTCACCCTTTTTGCTGTAGGGTTGGCACTAGAAGCTTTCTTGGGGTCCATGGTGACTTATTTTGCAGGTGCAATCACTAAAAAGGCTGTGACAATATGAAATGTTCCAGTTGTATGTTTGGAAGCGACCGCGGTGGCTGGCTGGCTTGTAATCACTGGCACCCAAGGGACAAGTGAGGCGCGCTCAGGCCAAAGTGGACGCATATGGTATGGAACGAATAGCGCTGGTCGGGTTTTTAAGCGCTAGTCGAGGCAAAATTTTTGCGTTAAAATGTATCGCTAGTCAGATTTATCGTTAATCGATGCCATCGTTGGTCGAGGGTCCACTGTATATGTTTGGACTGTTTACGGGTTAAAGAGAATCATCATGGGCATCCCTAGTTTTGAAGGTTTTCATTAACCATCCTGTCATTTTTCTAGCAGATGAGGTAGATGCATTGTTGTGGTCTGTGAAGGGTAGATCCTCTGACTATGGCTCCCAGGTACTTCACATTACTTTTTTGCTTTATTGTATGGTTAGAATTTGTTGTATACCCTGATAGAGTTTTAATTTCCTCAAGTTTTCCATATCTGAGTAGTTGAAATTTCTTTTCATTGAACTTCATATTGTTTTGAGTGGCCCATTTGATGATTTTGTCGATGTCTGCTTGGAGTCTTGTGATGTCTACGTTGGAGGACACTGTCATGGCAATTTGGTTGTCATCCACAAAGGAAGACACAGAGCTATGGCTTAAATGTCTATGTCAGATATGGGGATGAGGAGTTGGATGGGAGCGAGTACTGTATCTTGTGGAACAGAACTTTTCACCTTAGCTGCCTAGGACTTTACTCTACTCTTTGTGTTTGTTAAGAAGCTATTGGTCCATCTACCAATTTTTCCTGTTATTCCTTTATCATGCATTTTGTGCTTAGTCACAATGCCTAACCATGCATTTAAATGATACTCCTTATTTAATTTTGATTTTATTTAACTGCTTCCCTTACCATTTTTTTTTTCTTTGGAGTCCTAAACCACTCTTATCATTGTTTCACATTGGCTGCACATATTGAATTTTGTCACATTAAAATTTCTCCATAAAATCCTGTGAGAATCTACAGAATATCTTGTGACCTGCCTCCACCCACCCTTCTGTAAATCATCCTTAGTGGCAGCCACCCCCACACCAGTTGGCTCATTGACTGTGTTTTCATTTTTATCTAATACATGTACGTATTGGTTAAACAAAGGGTTGTCACATATCTAGCATGGTAAACTATTTGAATGTTGAATATGATAACTTTCACTGCAGTAACTTAAAAATAGCTTCCATTGCAATTTATTGTGATATGGTAGACTATCAATACTAGCAGATAAATTAGCGTGTGACTTTTATATTATCTAACTTATCTCGGGTTCTATTAAGACAGTAGGTTAGTAAGCCACACCCCACCTACCCCATGCTGGGGTAGGTGATGAGTAAGTCCTCTAGTATGCACTACCATGTAGTGATTCTTTGGTTTTTAAATGAGGTGTAAACTCTTTCTCCAGTATACTGGAGGATATTTATCATGTGAAGGGTAATTATCTGATTAATACCATGTTGAGAGACACTGTGCCATTTCTTGACAAATAAGCTCCACCACCACCACCACCACCACCACCACCACCACCTTGATTGTCCTACTGCAATCAAACCATATCAGTGACATTATTACATATTGTAATTTGATTTGCAGGTAACTGAATTAAGAGAAAGAGGAAATGAGTGTGTCCGGGCTGGTAATTATGCAGAGGCAATAATACATTATTCACATGCCATCAAGAGTGATAGTTCCTCTCCGCAACTCTACAGTAACCGTTCCTATGCTTTCCTCAAACTTCAGCAATATTACCATGCACTTGAAGATGCCAATGAAGCTATCCGACTTGATCCTGGGTGGGCAAAGGTAAGGCATTTTCAGATATATATTTGGCAATGGATATAATTAGAGTATTGTGTGCATAAAAAAACTGACACTACAACATTTACGTTAAAAACTAATGATGTGCAAAAAGTGTACATTATACTGTATTTTAAAGTTAATAAAATGACACTATTTTGTTGACTTAATCTCTAAATATTAAAATAGAATTACACGAGTTATGGTATACTGTGCTGAATTGGTGGTACAATGTATAACATCTTATTTCTCCTAATATAACTTCATTTTGAAATAGAAAAAAGATCTTTGTGATGGAGAACATGGGGGTAAACCATTTTGGAATATGTCACACCAGTCTCTACCTATTGCTCACCTCTGAGTATGGTCTGTTATGCATAATTAAGTCACAGTTTGCCACTGTTCAAACTATCTTTAGCTAAATGTTGTAGTGTGCAGCCATCAGTTAAAACATGTGTGAAGCATATCAACTAATTGGCTTTTGGAAGCAAAAGGCTTGAGGAGGAGGTGAAAACCTGTGCACACCATGGTGCAAGGCTGAGTTTTCTGTTCTGAGATCAGCAAGATACTGAAAAATGATTATTGAGTGAATAAAAGGCTTGATACTGTCTGGTGTGAATATTATACAGAGAATTAAGAGTGTGGAAACTAGATGATGTGGGGCTGCAAAAAGTATAATTCAGAAAGCAGAGAAAGGGTTGTTGAGATAGTTTGGCTATTTAGAAAAGATGACAGAATAGGATGAGAGAATGTGCATCAATTCGGTCATCCCAAGACATTACCTGAACTAAAGTCCTGGAGGTGGAATGTACAATGCTTGCACTCTGAAGGAGGGGTGGGGATATTTGCAAATTGAAGGGGCATCTGAACTGTGGTATCTGCCTGCTTCTGGAATGACAGTGATAGAGTGAATGATGATTAAACTGTTTCTTCTATTTGGGGTCACCCTACCTCAGTGGTAGACGAATGTTGTGTTAAAAAATATTGCCATTATTGTTATTAATAAATATTAAATAAATTTATAAATTTTTAATATATTTTATCATAGAAAAGCTAGTGTGGTAAGATAAAAATCAGTCGTATTCTTATTTTTCAGGGATATTTTCGACGAGGAGAGGTTGAGTTTGCTACTAGTCACTTTGGCCAGGCATTGGAGTCATACCGTCGGGCATCCCAGTTGCAGAATGACCCAACATTACTGGAGTGTGTTTTGAGAGCAAACAGGGAAATGACTCGCCAACAAAAGGTACTATACTAAGGGAACATGCAAACCTGTTCTAAGTTTTGGGAAATAAAATATCTGGGCTGTCTCTTACTTCTTCATGTGATCATTCACCTTTTCTTTCTCACTCATGGCTTGATAATGTTGATAATGTTGTTCAAGACAGAAGACTGATACATCTAAGGTTTCCTTTCTAAATTGTCGATTAGCTGTAAATTGTTCCAATGATGATATTGTGATTTATTTTACAGTAGTGTTACTAGTTGTATAGCTTTCAGGAAAAGTGTTATAGGTTGGCATTGAAAAATATGAATCAGGTGATATAATTTGTTGTGATTTTACAGGTAGACCAACAGACACCCTGGGTTGGTGCAGGTATTGGACTCATCCTTGGTGTGTTGGTTGTTGTAGGAGATGCAATCATTGCTAAGGAATCAGTTCTCACAGTAAGTTCTCTGTGTGCTATGTATGTTGGTATCATTTTCACCTACAGCTGTAATCATCTGAAGCACAATTTTGGTTGCCATTAATATTAACTCGTGTTGGAAACTAGCAATGCTGCTTAATAAATTTGTTAAGGATGTGTAACCCCTTCTCCTGTATAAATTAATAAATTTAAAAGGAAAAACCTTTGTTTTTCTTTTGAGGTCACCCTGCCTCGGTGAGATACAGCTAGTTTGTTGAGAAAAATATACTTTATAATTTTTGTCTCAGAAGATACACCCAGTGCCTGCTTGCTTGTGTATTAAAAAAAGTATGAAATAATTATGCATTGTATTGACATGTTGTAAATAAAGACCTTTATAAAGAGATTGAACAGCAGAAATAGAAAAAATATAAGTTTGCAGTTATAAAAGATTTAAGAAATAATGGTTTTGAAGAACTGAGTATATTACTTGACCTTCATTTGTACTGGAATATTGTTTAATTCCATTTATAAAGAATTAAAAAATTACAAGGTAATGAATCTGACATGAAAGGGGGATTGGCACAGTTGCTCATTTGCTGATAACCCAGTGGTTTTGGTAGATTCCAAAGGGATGTTGCATAAGTTGGTGGAGTAGTTTAGGAGGGTGTATAAAAGAAGGAAGTTAATCCTTAAACTGTCCAAATGTAGATCTATGTTTGCACTGCTAGCGCTCCAGACGTAGATCTGCTTTTTTTTATAAGCTTTCAAATGTAAAAAAAAAAAAATAGATCTACGTTTGGAGCGCTAGCGGTGCAAACGTAGATCAACGTCTGGACAATTTAAGGGTTAAAAATGAATGTAGAGAAGAATAAGGTGATAAGAGTAAGAAAAAAATTTTGGTAATGAAAGATTTTATATTAGACTGAACAGAGGGAGTACAGAGAAATCAAGTGTATTTACATATATGTATAGGAGTGGATGTGTCAGCAGATGAGTCTATGGAACATGTGAATCGTAGAAAAGTTGGAATCTATGGAAAGAAAACAGTGTATCAATGGATGCCGAAAAGCAAGTGTACTAGAATATAGTAGTAGTGCTAACACTATTGAATGTGAGGCATTGCAGTGAGGAGAGGGTTGAAGACACTAGCGATGTTGCATTTGAGCTCAGTGTGTGTAATGCTAATATGCAGAGAATAACCTAGCCTTTTTAACATATCACTACAAACTGGCATAGTGCTGGATAAGTGAAAAATGGCAAATGTAGTACCTAACTACAAAGCAGGAGACAGGTTGTTAACTGTGAATAATAGACCATTTAGCCTAACCACCATTGTGGGAAATTTGATGGAATCAGTGATTGCTGAGTCTATTCAAGGCATAAATTGACCAATGAATCTCGGCGCAGTTTCTCCACACCAGAGATTGTTGAGGAAAGTAGAGGCTCACCAAATATGAAGGGAAGTTTTTTCCTGAATAGAGGCATTGTTGAGAGATAGACAACAGAGAGTTTGCATAAATGGAGAGAAATCAGAGTTGGGTATGCATCACAGGCAGTGTTCCACAGGGCATTTTGTTGTTCACAATATACATAAACAATGAACAATGAAGGAATATATAGTGAAATAAGCAAGGTTGTCGATGACACCAAAATAGGCAATTGGATTAATTTTGATGAGGACACTAGATTGCTACAGGAAGATCTGGATAGATTGATGCAGTGGTTGGAGAAGTGGCAGATGCAGTTTAATTTAGAAAAATTGAAGTTCTAAGTTTTGGAAAATAACCATGACACTTATGAACTAAATAATGTATATCTTAATCATTCTGAGTGCAAAAAAAAAAAAAAAAAGATTTGGGGGTTCTGGTTAGCAGTAATCTAAAACCAAGACAACAGTTTATAAGTGTTTGTAATAAAGCTAATGGAATTCTTCGTTTCATATCAGAAAGTATAAATAACAGGAATCCCCAGGTTATACTTCAACCCTATATCATTAGTTTAGCCTCATTTACATTATGCCATGCAGTTCTGGCCTCTGTATTACAGAATGACATAACTTTGCTAGAAAACACACATAAAAGGATGACAAAGTTGATCCCATGTATCAGAAATCCTTCCTACAAGGATACACTGAAGGCACTGAATCTGCACTCTCTAGAGTGGTACAGAATTGGGGGAGATATGATTCAGGTAGTATATAAGGAAGACAGGAATAAATAAAGGGGATATAAATAGCATGCCAAAATCATCTAACCAAAACAGGATTTGTTCAGTGGGTTAAAGTTGGGAAAATTTAGATTTAAAAAGGATATAGGAAAGCATTGGCTTCTTAATAGAATTGTGGATGAGTGGAACAAATTCCTGAGTAGCATCATTGAAGCAAAAACCATGTGTAGCTTGATAAATAGGTTAGACATGTACATGAGTGAGTGTGAGTTGGACCTACCTAGCATGAGCCAGATGGCCTGCTGCAGTGCTCCTTTCTTATGTTATTATGGACAAATTGTAAGATGGTTGGGTGGTGTGAAAGGTATAATTCATATAGTAGATGGGATATTAAGATGATTTAGATATTTAGAAAGGATGGTAAAAAAATAGGATGACCAAGAGGGTGTATAAATCCAGGGATGGATGGAGGGTTAGGGGATATCCTCCAAAGGGTTAGGAAGAGAATGTGAAGGAAAGTTTGAACAGTAGGAGTTTGAGTATTCAGCAGGCATGAGTGAGCACGTTAGATTGGAGTGGGTGGAGACCATCAGTTTTTGGGTTTGAAGCTTTTGGATTGTGAGCAATGTATTATCTGTAATGGGATCCAGGAGGCATTACAGTTCATTTGAATTGTGATGTCCATGCACTTTTTAGTAAGGCAACAAGGAAATCAGTGGTGAATGTGTCTTTCATTGGGTCACCCTTTCTTCGTTGAGATATGGCCAGTGGTTCAAGTTTTTCTTCAGAATTTGAGAAATTTAGCCTGGTCACTAATTGTAGGGTTGCAATATTTCCTGATGTATTATTTAATTGTTATTATCATTATTATTACTTTTTTTTTGCAGCACCCTATCCTTCAGTCAGTTGTTACGATCATGTTTTCACTGCTGGGCTTGGGACTTGGTTTTTGCTACAGAATATATAATCAGAATCAGCGAAAGGCATTATTAGAGCCTCCACTTGACTTTTTAGGTAAGTAATATTAGATTTCCATTGCTTATAGTTGTGCATTGAAATAACAATGCAAATAGTAAGGAATGAGAGCATGTGATGTTAAGTAGATGATCCTAATTGGACATGCATATGTGTGTGTGTGTGTGTGTGTGTGTGTGTGTGTGTGTGTGTGTGTGTGTGTGTGTGTGTGTCTCATAAATATGCAAGATTACAGGCATTCTTGCTACTTCTACTTACACTTAGGTCACACTACACATACATGTACACATTTATTTATACACACTCATCTGAGTTTTCTTTGATTTTATCTTAATAGTTCTTGGTCTTATTAATTTTCCTCTTATATCCATGGGGAAGTGGAATAAGAATCTTTCCTCCGTAAGCCATGCGTGTTGTAAAAGTCAACTAAAATGCCGGGAACAATGGGCTAGTAACCCCTTTTCCTGTAAAGATTACTAAAAAGAATAAGAAGAAGAAAATTGTCAAAGTGGGAAGTCTGAATGTGCGTGGATGTTGTGCAGATGATAAGAAAGAGATGATTGTGGATGTTATGAATGAGAAGAAGCTGGATGTCCTGGCTTTAAGTGAAACAAAGCTGAAGGGGGTGGGAGAGTTTCAGTGGAGAGGAATAAATGGGATTAGGTCAGGGGTTTCAAATAGAGTTAGAGCTAAAGAAGGAGTAGCAATAATGTTAAAGGATAAGCTATGGCAGGAAAAGAGGGACTATAAATGTATTAATTCAAGGATTATGTGGAGTAAAATAAAGATTGGATGTGAAAAGTGGGTTATAATAAGCGTGTATGCACCTGGAGAAGAGAGAAGTGTAGATGAGAGAGAGATATTTTGGGAAATGTTGAGTGAATGCGTGGGGAGTTTTGAATCAAGTGTGAGAGTAAGGGATTTCAATGCTAAAGTGGGTAAAAATGTTATGGAGGGAGTAGTAGGTAAATTTGGGGTGCCAGGGGTAAATGTAAATGGGGAGCCTTTAATTGAGCTATGTGTAGAAAGAGATTTGGTAATATGTAATATATATTTTATGAAAAAGAGGATAAATAAATATACAAGGTATGATGTAGCACATAATGAAAGTAGTTCGTTAGATTATGTATTGGTGGATAAAAGGTTGATGGGTAGGCTCCAGGATGTACATGTTTATAGAGGGGCAACTGATATATCGGATCATTATTTAGTTGTAGCTACAGTTAGAGTAAGAGGTAGATGGGACATGAGGAAAATGGCAACAACAAGTAAGAGGGAGGTGAAAGTGTATAAACTAAGGGAGGAGGAGGTTCGGGTGAGATATAAGCAACTATTGGCAGAAAGGTGGGCTGGTGCATGTATGACTAGTGGGGAGGGGGGGTTGAAGAGGGTTGGAATAGTTTTAAAAATGCAGTATTAGAATGTGGGGCAGAAGTTTGTAGTTATAGGAGGGTGGGTGCAGGAGGAAAGAGTGATTGGTGGAATGATGAAGTAAAGAGTGTGATAAAAGAGAAAAAGGTAGCTTATGAGAGGTTTTTACAAAGCAGAAGTGTTATAAGAAGAGCAGAGTATATGGAGAGTAGAAGAAAGGTGAAGAGAATTGTGAGAGAGTGCAAAAGGAGAGCAGATGATAGAGTGGGAGAGGCACTGTCAAGAAATTTTGATGAAAATAAGAAAAAATTTTGGAGTGAGATAAACAAGTTAAGAAAGCCTAGGGAACAAAAGGATTTGTCAGTTAAAATCAGAGTACAGAGTTAGTAGATGGGGAGCTGGAGGTATTGGGTAGATGGCAGGAATATTTTGAGGAACTTTTAAATGTTGAGGAAGAAAGGGAGGAGGTAATTTTATGCACTGGTCAGGGAGGTATAACATCTTTTAGGAGTGAAGAAGAGTAGGATGTGAGTGTGGAGAGGTGCGTGGGGCATTACGTAGAATGAAAGGGGGTAAAGCAGCTGGAACTGATGGGATCATGACAGAAATGTTAAAGGCAGGGGGGGAATATAGTGTTGTAGTGGTTGATATTTTTGTTTAATAAATGTATGAAAGAGGGGAAGGTACCTAGGGATTGGGAGAGAGCTTGTATAGTTCCTTTATATAAAGGGAAGTGGGACAAAAGAGATTGTAGAAATTATAGGGGAATAAGTTTACTGAGTATACCAGGACAAGTGGGGAAGGTACCTAGGGATTGGGAGAGAGCTTGTATAGTTCCTTTATATAAAGGGAAGTGGGACAAAAGAGATTGTAGAAATTATAGGGGAATAAGTTTACTGAGTATACCAGGAAAAGTGTACGGTAGGGTTATTATTGAAAGAATTACGTATAGGTAAGACTGAGAGTAGGATTTCAGATGAGCAAGGAGGCTTTTGAGTGGGTAGGGGATGTGTAGATCAAGTGTTTGCATTGAAGCATATATGTGAACAGTATTTAAATAAAAGTAGGGAAGTTTTCATTGCATTTATAGATTTAGAAAAGGCATAAGATAGAGTGGATAGGGGAGCAGTGTGGCAGATGTTGCAAGTATATGGAATAGGTAGTAAATTACTAAATGCTGTAAAGAGTTTATATAAGGATAGTGAGGCTCAGGTTAAAGCTTATCTAAAAGGTTGTATGTTTACCACAAGAGAACATTACCTGCAGTGCATGCTTATTACTGCACTATCACTGACACACACTATTAATAATTTTACAAATTAGAGATGAAATCCTCCAAAGAAGGTATATTATGTTTGAGATGTAAAGAATATTATTGCTGTTTGCAGATACTGTACCCATTAGTGCTATATAATGTAAGGACAAAAGTTTTTAATTGAATTTCAATATTAGGTATTGACGATGGGGATGCTAGAAATGGAGTGAGTGGAGCAAGAGAAAAAGTTGGCAGTGGAGATGAGGGTGAGGAGCGACGCCATCACCCACGGTACAACAAGGCCCAGGCTCGTCACCGCTACAAGAAAGGCAAATCGTAGAGAATCGCCCAGCCAGTAATAGAATTTGTTTTATGTAATTATAGAAGAATATGGGATTTTTAAGTGATCTACTTAAGGTATGCACATTTTTTCAAATGTGAAAATATGTTCATTTACACTATTTCATGCTCAGAAAGGGTTAAGAAATAAATTCAGGGTATAACATAAAATACAAAATTTTTTGTTACAGCTCATTATAATCTTTGTGCAAATTTTAATAAATAGCTAAGAATTTGAAGACTGCATCCTTGGAATCTTCTTAGCTGTCATGAAAATGAAGTAATATGTGATATTAGAGTTTCAACTTTGTCTCCTTTAACTCACATTAAGGCAATGAAAAGTAAATACTATACTACAGTAATTTCAAATGTAAGAATTGCTATTAAGCAGAGAATCTGTGGCTGATTGTGGCATAATAAGTTATTAAAGAACTTAGGTTCTTATGCTATTGTCACTACTCTCTCTTTAGAGTTATTCTTTCTTTTTTTCACTGTTTCCTACAGGCTGATAGATTATAGGATTTTTAAATTGTAATTAAATGTAGGTCTACATTGTCAGAATTTTATTAATACGCTCTCAAGATTTTCCATGCAGCAGTATGTCATGGAAGTAAAGGTGGAAAACATTTCATAAGTTGTCTTTATATTGTAAATGATGGTAAAGTGCATCTGCATATCATCAAGCTACTTTTGACAATTTTGTTTTATTATGGTGTGACTTTTAATAATTTGGGTTTACCTGGAGTTGTTTCCAGAGATCATCCCTACCCACCCCACAGCCTGGTCTCGGACCAGGCTCTTGGTTGCTGGCCTAATTGCTCCAGCTGTTAGTGCCTGCAGTCCAATGCATACACCACAGCCTAGCTAATCAGGAACTGTTTTTGAGGAATCTGCCGAGTTCCCTCTTGAAGACAGCTAGGGGTTTGTTGGCAATCCCCCTTATGCATGAAGGGAGGGTGTTGGAGTCATGGTCACTTAACACTTATTGAGTTTTGTGTACTTGTAGCATCCTTGCTTTTCTTGGAGATATCCTGCACCCTGTGCCAAGCCTCTTGTGTTCGTAAGTAGTAATTTTGGTGTGTAGGTTTGGGACCAAACCCTTTGTTATCTCCCAGGTGTAGATTTTGATGTATCTTTTTCTCCTGTATTATGGTTGTCTCTCACCTACTATCCCGCACATTTCACTGCAAGTTACACCGCTGAAATATAATACAACATAAAATCAGGTAAATATCAGATTTGTAAGTTTGGATTCATCAAGGTTCTTAAGAGATTTACACTCTTCATCATTTTGTGGGTTTAGAAAGCAATTTCTGCAGCTTGTTTTTCAGTCATTGCAGTGTAGCTATAACAGTTTCTTGGATTCTTTGTTACTGAAAGTATAACTTAGAGTTGTTTACATGTTAGAAAAACAGAAAGACAAAATCGTAGCAGAAATTTTGAGTTTTAAAAGATGAATTACTTGGGAAAGGCTTATAGTGAAGGAGCTTACAATTCTTAATTAATTTTAATTTTTCCAGCAATGACTGCATGTGTAGAGTGCAGTTTCTCTGCTTTTGAAACAAATTATCAACAAAAATTCTTAAGGTCAAGAATGATTGCAAATCTTTGCCCCTCTATTATTTGAAAAAAAGAATTACAGCATTGCAAAAACTTTAGAGCAAGTCAGAATTTTACAGCAAACTGTATTAAATTGGTTAGCTAAATAATATTTCATGTTACTTCTTCCTATTTTGTTTATTTAATGAATCAATAAAAACGAATATGTATTAATGTTCATACCTCAACATTATCCAAAAGCTTAACAGTGTAATTTACTTACCTTAGCAATTTTTTCATGATTCTTCACTGGTTTAGGAAATAAAGTAGACCATTGATTAACCCTTTCAGGGTCCAGAGGCCAAATTTCAAAGTGCATACCAGTGTCCAAGAATTTTCAAAAAAATAATTTTGTTATTTTTTCTTGTGAAATAGTAGAGAATCTTTTTCTGAAGGTAATAAAACAAAAAGTACGAAATTTGATGGAAAATTGACGAAATTATGCTCTCGCGAATTTTGATGTGTCAGCGATATTTACGCATCAGCGATTTTGCCGACTTTGACTCCCATTTTAGGCCAATTACCTTATTCCAGTAGACCAAATTCTTAGCTATTTCACTAGTATTACTTCTATTCTATCGGTTGAACACAAGAAATCCCTAACTCAACTGTTTCAACTACAAAATAAAGTGATTGGAAATTGGTAATTTAGCCAATTTAGTGCAAAGTTCAAAATATTCCAGTTTCAAAATAGGGTCCAGAATAAACAATGCAGACATTCCTGGCACTAAACTAACATTTCCTCTGCTCATTAGTTATGTTTTCAGGCTTTACTAAAAAAGAGAAGAAGAAAAACTTTATAAAACTGGGATGCCTAAATGTGCGTGGATGTAGTGCGGATGACAAGAAACAGATGATTGCTGATGTTATGAATGAAAAGAAGTTGGATGTCCTGGCCCTAAGCGAAACAAAGCTGAAGGGGGTAGGGGAGTTTCGGTGGGGGGAAATAAATGGGATTAAATCTGGAGTATCTGAGAGAGTTAGAGCAAAGGAAGGGATAGCAGTAATGTTGAATGATCAGTTATGGAAGGAGAAAAGAGAATATGAATGTGTAAATTCAAGAATTATGTGGATTAAAGTAAAGGTTGGATGCGAGAAGTGGGTCATAATAAGCGTGTATGCACCTGGAGAAGAGAGGAATGCAGAGGAGAGAGAGAGATTTTGGGAGCTGTTAAGTGAATGTATAGGAGCCTTTGAACCAAGTGAGAGAGTAATTGTGGTAGGGGACCCGAATGCTAAAGTAGGAGAAACTTTTAGGGAGGGTGTGGTAGGTAAGTTTGGGGTGCCAGGTGTAAATGAGAATGGGAGCCCTTTGATTGAACTTTGTATAGAAAGGGGTTTAGTTATAGGTAATACATATTTTAAGAAAAAGAGGATAAATAAGTATACAAGATATGATGTAGGGCGAAATGACAGTAGTTTGTTGGATTATGTATTGGTAGATAAAAGACTGTTGAGTAGACTTCAGGATGTACATGTTTATAGAGGGGCCACAGATATATCAGATCACTTTCTAGTTGTAGCTACACTGAGAGTAAAAGGTAGATGGGATACAAGGAGAATAGAAGCATCAGGGAAGAGAGAGGTGAAGGTTTATAAACTAAAAGAGGAGGCAGTTAGGGTAAGATATAAACAGCTATTGGAGGATAGATGGGCTAATGAGAGCATAGGCAATGGGGTCGAAGAGGTATGGGGTAGGTTTAAAAATGTAGTGTTAGAGTGTTCAGCAGAAGTTTGTGGTTACAGGAAAGTGGGTGCGGGAGGGAAGAGGAGCGATTGGTGGAATGATGATGTGAAGAGAGTAGTAAGGAAGAAAAAGTTAGCATATGAGAAGTTTTTACAAAGTAGAAGTGATGCAAGGAGGGAAGAGTATATGGAGAAAAAGAGAGAGGTTAAGAGAGTGGTGAAGCAATGTAAAAAGAGAGCAAATGAGAGAGTGGGTGAGATGTTATCAACAAATTTTGTTGAAAATAAGAAAAAGTTTTGGAGTGAGATTAATAAGTTAAGAAAGCCTAGAGAACAAATGGATTTGTCAGTTAAAAATAGGAGAGGAGAGTTATTAAATGGAGAGTTAGAGGTATTGGGAAGATGGAGGGAATATTTTGAGGAATTGTTAAATGTTGATGAAGATAGGGAAGCTGTGATTTCGTGTATAGGGCAAGGAGGAACAACATCTTGTAGGAGTGAGGAAGAGCCAGTTGTGAGTGTGGGGGAAGTTCGTGAGGCAGTAGGTAAAATGAAAGGGGGTAAGGCAACCGGGATTGATGGGATAAAGATAGAAATGTTAAAAGCAGGTGGGGATATAGTTTTGGAGTGGTTGGTGCAATTATTTAATAAATGTATGGAAGAGGGTAAGGTACCTAGGGATTGGCAGAGAGCATGCATAGTTCCTTTGTATAAAGGCAAAGGGAATAAAAGAGAGTGCAAAAATTATAGGGGGATAAGTCTGTTGAGTATACCTGGCAAAGTGTATGGTAGAGTTATTATTGAAAGAATTAAGAGTAAGACGGAGAATAGGATAGCAGATGAACAAGGAGGCTTTAGGAAAGGTAGGGGGTGTGTGGATCAGGTGTTTACAGTGAAACATATAAGTGAACAGTATTTAGATAAGGCTAAAGAGGTCTTTGTGGCATTTATGGATTTGGAAAAGGCATATGACAGGGTGGATAGGGGGGTAATGTGGCAGATGTTGCAGGTGTATGGTGTAGGAGGTAGGTTACTGAAAGCAGTGAAGAGTTTTTACAAGGATAGTGAGGCTCAAGTTAGAGTATGTAGGAAAGAGGGAAATTATTTCCCAGTAAAAGTAGGCCTTAGACAAGGATGTGTGATGTCACCGTGGTTGTTTAATATATTTATAGATGGGGTTGTAAGAGAAGTAAATACGAGGGTCTTGGCAAGAGGCGTGGAGTTAAAAGATAAAGAATCGCACATAAAGTGGGAGTTGTCACAGTTTATTACAACCTAGGATTTCAAAGGCCTGTTATCCCAGGTGTAATGGGAGCAAAAGAAACACAGCAGAAAAAGTTTAGACTTATATTATCCTTCACCAATTTAGAACAGCAATATGTACACTATGTACAGTAATAAGTATAGTGCACGTCACGGTAAGCAAGGCAGAAATAGAAGCCACAAGATAGCAGACCGTGCTCAACCAGCTCTAGAATGGGAATGACAAGGGCAGACAGGAGAGCGGTATCCACATAACCTCTGCGATTGCCAATCCCACCTTCTTATTGGCTAGAACCTGGTCACTAGTTGAACGATGGGGCCCCATCACCAACTCTTAGCAACCTGGTTCGCTGGTTGGGGGAGATAGCCTGTAAATGAGGGTGTGTCCATGCGCCGAATAAAGGTTACGTACTCTCTGCATGCCCACACCCCACCCCCGAGAAGGCTCAGGATTAGGCTGCCACCTCCCAGTGGTAACCGTGCCGCCATGGCACAAAATAATGGGACCGCCTATCCTCTCCACCATCCAACTCTTAGATAGAGCTCAGCTTTCCTAGTGACCAAAAGCCAAACCCTAAACTCAGAGCGAGACAGCAGTCAGATAGGCCAACATAGGTCCAAGATACAAGCGGACGGTAGCCCGTATCCCCTCACTAAAAAAAAAACCCACATCAGGGGATAAAAAAAAGAGCTTGAAAGGGGGTTACCACAAATACATCCTAACCTAAATAAAATATTAAACTAGACTCTTGACAAAGAGTCTGCCAACAACGCTGTAGGGACAATTTAGGTAGGTTATGCAAAGTATATGCCGACACCAGGCGTCTGACTCGTCTAGGTGGCATAAGTTATTCGCTATGCACAGTACGAATACCCCAACGTAACACGTTAATTTGCAGAACACGCTTAGCTATGCACAGTACGATTCCAGAATACGCATACAAGCAAAGCCGACTGCACACAAGATTGACCGTAGCGAAGCGAGCACACTGAACAAGCTAGTAGCGAGCTGTTGAACGATCACACAATAGCAAGGCTGATCATAAGCAACTGACACGCAAAATTTGTAAAGCGAAGCGAGACAGCAAGCTACACAATGTTCCTGCTACAAGCTTCACCCTAAGCTCAACCGTTTCTCTAAGTCCAGCTCCAGCTCTCGGACAGGCTACCCATATTACAACCTAGGATTTCAAAGGCCTGTTATCCCAGGTGTAATGGGAGCAAAAGAAACACAGCAGAAAAAGTTTAGACTTATATTATCCTTCACCAATTTAGAACAGCAATATGTACACTATGTACAGTAATAAGTATAGTGCACGTCACGGTAAGCAAGGCAGAAATAGAAGCCACAAGATAGCAGACCGTGCTCAACCAGCTCTAGAATGGGAATGACAAGGGCAGACAGGAGAGCGGTATCCACATAACCTCTGCGATTGCCAATCCCACCTTCTTATTGGCTAGAACCTGGTCACTAGTTGAACGATGGGGCCCCATCACCAACTCTTAGCAACCTGGTTCGCTGGTTGGGGGAGATAGCCTGTAAATGAGGGTGTGTCCATGCGCCGAATAAAGGTTACGTACTCTTTGCATGCTACACAGTTGCTCTTTGCTGATGACACTGTGCTCTTGGGAGATTCTGAAGAAAAGTTGCAGAGATTGGTGGATGAATTTGGTAGGGTGTGCAAAAGAAGAAAATTGAAAGTGAATACAGGAAAGAGTAAGGTTATGAGGATAACAAAAAGATTAGGTGATGAAAGACAGGATATCAGATTGGAGGGAGAGAGTATGGAGGAGGTGAATGTATTCAGATATTTGGGAGTGGACATGTCAGCGGATGGGTCTATGAAAGATGAGGTGAATCATAGAATTGATGAGGGGAAAAGGGTGAGTGGTGCACTTAGGAGTCTGTGGAGACAAAGAACTTTGTCCTTGGAGGCAAAGAGGGGAATGTATGAGAGTATAGTTTTACCAATGCTCTTATATGGGTGTGAAGCATGGGTGATGAATGTTGCAGCGAGGAGAAGGCTGGAGGCAGTGGAGATGTCATGTCTGAGGGCAATGTGTGGTGTGAATATAATGCAGAGAATTCGCAGTTTGGAAATTAGGAGGAGTTGCGGGATTACCAAAACTGTTG